CCCCCCCACACACACAAAGAAAAACCCCACGCATAAAATTCAAACAAAAACGGAAACATAATACATGTATTATGTGCAGCAGGATAGGTGAAATCAGGCGCTAGTCAAAATAATGATATTAAAGAAACTGGCATTTTTTCCGATTGCAAGGTCCCTTCGTTTTTTCAGTTTTGAGACAGTTTTGCTGCAAAAAGCTAAACTTCTTTATTTCGCCGATCGCTTTTGAGGCCGACGCTTCTGTCTCTGTAATTTTAGAAAACCCGGAAGCGACATTTCGCGAGGTGCATTTTGTTTTGAGAGTATAGATCTAGACCTTCTAATTTTTTGCATCTCTCAAGATTTATTGCTCCATTCCAGTAAAGTGTAAATATAGTGGGCCAATTATATTTAGTTGATATTAAAGCACCGATCATTCCTTTCATCGAAAGGGGGCCCAGGTAGTATTATTCTAAACTCAGATTTTCGTTTCTTTTTTTGTCTCAACACCTTTTATTTCCATTTCTAAACACTTTTCTTAGTGGATTTTACGAAACAAAAAACCTTGATTACAGACGCACACACCCAAAATGTAGATTTGCAGTTATCAAGGACAATCAAGCTTTAAAAGTCACCAAACTTTAGAGGCAATTTTCTCGCTGTTTGTAGGCCTACCTCTAAAACCAAGCAACCCCCATCTTCTCCAGTGGCAAATATCCCGACTGATATTCCAGACAAATGGGCATTGTTTTTATCCAAAGCGAGATGGATGAACAAGCTATAATATTATGATGGTACCAAGGACTACTATACTATAGTAGTCCATGGGTGGTACCAACAACTTCATAATAATATGCCCCCACCACGTGGCACATATCATCATGTCCTATCAGCGACAATCATCATGTCCTATCAGCGACAATCATCATGTCCAATCAGCGACAATCATCATGTCCAATCAGCGACAATCATCATGTCCAATCAGTGACAATCATCGTGTCAAATCAGTGACAATGTCCAATCAGTGACAATGTCCAATCAGTGACAATGTCCAATCAGTGACGATGTCCAATCAGTGACAATTATATCACGTCCCATCATTGACAATCATGATATCCCATCACTGACAATCATCATATCCCATCAGCGACAATCATCATGTCCTATACGACAGTCATAATGTCCTACAAGCGACAATCATCATGTCCCATCAACGACAATCATCATGTCCTATCAGCTGTCCTATCAGCGACAATCAGTAACAATCAACGATAATCATCATGTCCTATCAGCAGCAAGCAAAAAGACAATGTTGCTGCATCACATTTTAAACAATCACAAACTAGAACTAGAAAAATTTAGTGATAAAAAAGCATAATCTGCGTTTTACAATTAATCATTTCTGAGTACCGCATACATGTCGCTGCCTGCCTTTCTACGTTTCAGGAGGAAAACATGTGCATGAATAAGGAAGCTATGCTTTTTTTTTTTTAAAGTGCCTCAAAACAGCTGTTGCACGAAAAGGAGCGCCTGTTTAAATAAAGAAGCTATGCTTCTCTATTAAGCCCCTACCCAAAAAGAACCCCCCCCTCCCCCC